GATAGCCATTGCAACACAATAGCTTATATGCAACAGGTCGTATTTTACTTGTAGGATTGTGACGTTTCATTTAGTGCACACCTCTTGCCCTTCCAAATGAAGAGCCAGTGAGGTAATTAAATTCTTTTGTTTGACCTGAGTCATATAACCAAATGGTCAAAACAGGGTTCTAGAGGCAGATAGTTTTCAGTGGAGGGTCGTGTTTCTTTCACTTTTAGCTCTATCACCACAATCACGATATCCTATGTGAACTTGGGCCTTTAATTCCTCTGAGTATGTATCTCCTCATCTGCAAAATGGAAATACCTCATTGATCTGTTAGTGCAGACAAAATTACGTAATGTATGCAAAACACTCGGCACAGTGCATTCCAACTCCAGGTATTGGCATTTATAAATTATGAGGACCCCAGCGGGCAACTTCTGAACTCTCCACTCAAATTCTTCAAGGGCCACAGAACTGGGAAGGATGCAAGGCCATTTGCATTGATATCAAGAGAGATTATAAAATTAACAGCATGGAGGCACCTGAGTTCACGTATGGCGAGAAAATTCGTATGTGTTAATGGCAAGTTAAAAAAAAAAAATCCAGTTCAGCTGGAGGGTTGATTATAACAGTGCTTGTGGACCTTAAGTTCTATGAAACTCCACAGAAATGCATCCAGGAAAAAGCATGTTACCTAATCCAGGCTACAGAACACATCCATGCTGTGGATACTGTTGCCATTGATGAGAACCATCCTTTTCCAGTTCTCCTGAAGGGAGTTACAGATCCCTTACCTCACAGAGCGCCTCCTGTCTTCTGGGTGCTTATAACAACATCTTAGATTTATATAACTATTTTCTGTTATGCATTTCTACGTGTTTCAATTCAGTTCGCTTAAAGTTCACAAAATTTCTATGTGATATGCAAAGCTGTAGTGTTAATGCCATTTTTGGGTTTTCTTCATTCTGTTCTATTTTAATGCAGGAGGAGTATGAGACCCAGAGAGTTTAAGCAACTTGCCCAGAGGTCACATGTCTTTCCAGTAGCCAAACAGTAGGAACACTTAGTCCAGTGGGCCTCCCTCCACATAAGTGCTTGTCAACCTGTAGTGTGCATATGAATCACTGGGGATCTGATTACAATGCAGCTTCTGAATTCAGTAGGTCTGGGGGAAGCTAGGGTTCTGCATGTCTAACAGGACCCCAGGACTTGCTGTTCCTGGCAGTCCCCCAGAACATCCTCTGCCACACCTTTCATAACAGCCCAGGCATGTCCTCCTGTTTCCTCCAATTTGGAGTCCCATCATCTGGGTATCTACTCATTCCCCCCTCCACCACCACCACTGGACTATGAACTCCCTCAGAGCAGAAACTATGTTTTGGTCGTTATTTTGACATGACTGTTCAGGACCACGCCTGGCAAAAAGGAAATGAATGAATATTTTTGAAGAGTGAAAAAGAATGTGTTGTATTTCCAATTAAAAAGCCCCAACACTTGCATATTAAGGCTGTGATTACTTATTGCAAAAAGATATTTATCAATTTCCTTCATTGTCTCCAGTTGTATTATATCTAACTGTATTTGCCAGGTCCCAAATAACATAACCAGAAGGAGCCCTGCAGGGTCTACCAGTTAGACCTACACCTCGGGCAGAACTATGCTAGAGTCCAGTGGAAAACCATCACAGTTTCTGGCTAAGGGAATGGGTCCATGTGAGGTCATTCCAAGGGCGAGGGGGAAGTGTAGTACAGGCAGGTGACTGAGATCCGCTCGTCTTCAGCTTGAGGAAGCCATGTCATCTGTGATCCCAACTAAGGATGCTGATAACACCAATTTACGGTTGCAGGTTTTCCATATGGCAAGCACTGTGCTTAGCACTTTGTAGCAGTCATCTTTCATCCTCTCTACAAACCCATGACATAGGCACTTACTTTGTAGGTAAAGAAGGGGACACATAGGATTATTGAACTGTAAGAGGTGAAGCCAAGATTTGGACCAAGTCAGTCTGGCTTAAGAGTCAGTGCTTCCAACCATGTCCTCTACTGGCTGGAACCAAACGGCGGGAGGCAGGGACCAATTTTCAGAAGATGGAGTGACTTTACTTTCTTGCCAGAAACCTGATAATAGACCCCAACAAACCCCAAGTAGAATTGGGGAGAAACACATCACATCAACAGGACATGACCCTTATATCCAAAAGGAAGGGTGTGAATATAATGTAGAAACAAAAAAACCCAGGATTTTCTGTTACAGCAAATGTTCAAATAGTTTGACTCTATTTGGCTTATGGTTAAATATACAACTCCACTGAAAGGTTAAGTAAGAGTCAGTTAAGTAATAAGTCTCAAAGGTCCCAGATTCCTTTCACACTTCATTAGGCCTCTTATGAAATCTTGCATTAATGATTGGGCCAAATCTGAGAAAATTGTCATCACAGGAAAGAAATCAGAATTTTGTGAAGCATCTGTGTCCAATGTAAAAAGTCAGAAAGTCTAAAGGACAGAGTGACCTTTGCTTTTCAGAAGCTTAAGAAGCAGAAATCCAACAGTTATATTTTAACACTGTCAGAAAATGAGGAAATCAAAGAAATAATTGAAGAGAATGCATTGTCAAACAGTGTAAATGAGCTGTCTCTTTTTTCATCAAAGATTTTTAAATGTGGAATAAGAAAACAAACAGGGGCAACGCTAAAATACAGCCCTAGGGTCTTGAATAAAACATTACCATGAAAAAAAAGTGGAGCCTTACAGATTGCTTTTTAACCACACTTGTCTTATTATTGACCTTGGGATGGCAACATGACATGGATTGCCAAGGTCCAAGACCTGGTTCTGCTGCTTCCTGGTTTTGGCCTCAAGCCAGCATATTTCTCCCAAAATTCTCTTTTCTCTTCTGTAAAATAAGGGCAATGAACCTGCCTCCTAGGATTGTTGTGAGCTTTATGTTGAATGATACACTGGGAGAGTTTAGACCCAAATAGAAAATCAACGTACATTGCACCTGTTTTCTCTCCTCCCTTATGAGTTCTATTTTCTTAAAACAATCTCCTTTAAATATTTTTATTCCTAAGTTTTTTTTATAGAAACATAAAATTGTTCAGGGTTAATAATACCATATCTACACCTCCACGCAGATGGAATATGTGTATAAGAAAATGAGTATAAAGTGTTGGGATATCATATGGAAAGCTTATCATATGTTAAGCTTGGTGTGTTAAAAATAGAACCATATAAAATTCCACATAGGCATGCATCCTGAAAAAGATCACTTGTAATTACACCTACAAATTTTGGTCAATCTTTAATATGATTATACATGTTAAAAAATGAAGAAGTTTTAACTTGTATGGAACCGCAAAAGACCCCGAATAGCCAAAGTAATTTTGAAGAAGAAGACCAAAGCAGGAGGCATCACAATCCCATACTTTAGCCTGCACTACAAAGCTGTAATCATCAAGACAGCATGGTATTGGCACAAAAACAGACACATAGACCAATGGAATAGAATAGAAACCCCAGAATTAGACCCACAAAAGTATGGCCAACTAATCTTTGACAAAGCAGAAAAGAATATCCAATGGAAAAAAGACAGTCTTTTTAACAAATGGTGCTGGGAGAACAGGACAGCAACAGGCAGAAGAATGAAACTAGACCACTTTCTCACACCATTCACAAAAATAAACTCAAAATGGATAAAGGACCTGACTGTGAGACAGGAAACCATCAAAACCCTAGAGGAGAAAGCAGGAAAAAAACCTCTCTGACCTCAGCTGCTGCAATTTCTTACTTGACACATCTCCAAAGGCAAGGGAATTAAAAGCAAAAATGAACTATTGGGACCTCATCAAAATAAAATCTGCACTGCAAAGGAAACAATCAACAAAACTAAAAGGCAACCAATGGAATGGGAAAAGATATTTGCAAATGACATATTGGACAAAGGGCTAGTATTCAAAATCTATAAGGAGCTCACCAAACTGCACACCCTAAAAACAAATAATCCAGTAAAGAAATGGCAGAAGACATGAATAGACACTTCTCTAAAGAAGACATCCAGATGGCCAACAGGCACATGAAAAAATGCTCAACGTCGCTCCTCATCAGGGAAATACAAGTCAAAACCACACTGAGATACCACACCTCATGCCAGTCAGAGTGGCTAAAATGAACAAATCAGGAGACTATAGATGCTGGAGAGGATGTGGAGAAACGGGAAACCTCTAGCACTGTTGGTGGGAATGCAAACTGTTGCAGCCGCTCTGGAAAACAGTATGGAGGTTCCTCAAAAAATTAAAAATAGACCTACCCTATGACCCAGCAATAGCACTGCTAGGAATTTACCCAAGGGATACAGGAGTGCTGATGCATAGGGGCACTTGTACTCCAATGTTTATAGCAGCGCTTTCAACAATAGCCAAATTATGGAAAGAGCCTAAATGTCCATCAACTGATGAATGAGGAAATTGTGGTTTATATACACAATGGAATACTACTTGGCAATGAGAAAGAATGAAATATGGCCTTTTGTAGCAACATGGATGGAACTGGAAGGTGTTATACTAAGTGAAATAAGTCATACAGAGAAAGGCAGATACCATATGTTTTCACTCTTATGTGGATCCTGAGAAACTTAACAGAAGACCATGCAGGAGGGGAAGGAAAAAAAAAAAAAAAGGTTAGAGAGGGAGGGAGCCAAACCATAAGAGACTATTAAAAACTGAGGACAATCTGAGGGTTGATGGGGGGTGGGAGGGAGAGAAGGGTAGGTGATGGGTATTGAGGAGGGCACCTTTTGGGATGAGCACTGGGTGTTGTATGGAAACCAATTTGGCAATAAAGTGCATATTTAAAAAAAATCAAGAAGTTTGATGACTCAGTAATACAGGTTTTTAGAAAAAAAATACGTCCATGTAATTTTTATGATGTTTTATAAACCTTAAGGTAGTAAACAATACACAGTATTATTTTTATTGTAATGTCCTATTGGCTTCTAAAATAATTGGAGATCAAAATCACTCAACATATTAAACTCCAAATTTTTATTCACCAAAATTAATGTGAAATTTAAGTGTAAAGTAAGGAAAGTAGGCTCTCTAGGAAGTTATAACAACATATATAATAGACATAAAGTCAACAAAGATAACAAATAAAATTTTTAGGAGTCTTCCAACAATTTCATCCTTCAGACTTGTGGGAGGAGTAGGAGACATTAATATCCAGTTTTTACACGTCATATCCAGGCTGCTCTTGCTCCCTAGGGGAAAGAAAGAGAAAAATATCCTGCAATAAATATATTTATAATCTTGATCCTTTAAGGTCAATTGAATATTTGCACTGTAAAAAAATAGTAATGAGGAAACATCCATACACATCTGTAACCCACTAATAAATTAAAATACTTTGCTCCCTAATGAATTAAAATATTTTCCATCCACTCATTTTGGCCATTTTATATCATAATCATACATTTTTCTACATGGAAAGCATGCCTTTCTTTCTAAAAAGAAACAGCTCAAGGAGCTATCAGAATGACCAATCTCTTGTCATGTTATCAGTAGTCTAGTCATGAAATCTTCTCTGCAAAGTTATTTACAATCATTTATATTGGCATTGATGAAATTGCCATTCTTCCAACTTGTATGGACTGTATTAAAGGGAAATGAGAATTTGGACACATGCAAAAAGGTAGATGATAAATTTTTTTTTAATTAAACAGCAAAAGGTCTTTTTAATTTTCTTGATCTTTCCTCAAGATCCTCTCTCTCATTATTTTTGTCACTTAATAAAACACCAAACATTTAATTTCCTCTACATTTCTGTGTTATCCAAATAATTTTTAAAAATAAAGTATTTTACTTTAAAATGCTTTACGATAGAGAGGGAAGATGGCGGCGTAGGAGGACGCTGGGCTCACCGCGCATCCTGCTGATCACTTAGATTCCACCTACACCTGCCTAAATAACCCAGAAAACCACCAGAGGATTAGCAGAACAGAGTCGCCGGAGCCAAGCGCAGACTAGAGGCCCACGGAAGAGGGTAGGAAGGGCGGCGAGGCGGTGCACGCTCCACGGACTGGCGGGAGGGAGCCTGGGCGGAGGGGCGGCTCGCCGGCCAAGCAGAGCCCCCAAGTCTGGCTTGCAAAAAGCGGAGGGGCCTGACGGACTGTGTTCCGACAGCAAGCGCGACTTAGCGTCTGGGAGGTCATAAGTTAACAGCTCTGCTCAGAAAGCGGGAAGGCTGGAGGACAAAGGGAAGGAGAGCTGCTGAGCCCCCTGATGACAGAGCTCAGTTTGGTGGGGAACAAAGGCGCTCGCCAGCGCCATCTCCCCTGCCCATCCCCCAGCCAAAATCCCAAAGAGAACCAGTTCCTGCCAGGGAACTTGCTCGCTCCGCGCAAACACCCAACTCTGCGCTTCTGCGGAGCCAAACCTCCGGCAGCGGATCTGACTCCCTCCTGCTGCCACAGGGCCCCTCCTGAAGTGGATCACCTAAGGAGAAGTGAACTAAGCCTGCCCCTCCTGCCCCTGTGCACCTTGCCTACCCACACCAGCTAAGACACCAGATCCCCAGCATCACAAGCCTGGCAGTGTGCAAGTAGCCCAGACAGGCCACCCCAACCCACAGTGAATCCCGCCCCTAGGAGAGGGGAAGAGAAGGCACACACCAGTCTGACTGTGGCCCCAGCGGTGGGCTGGGGGCAGACATCAGGTCTGACTGCGGCTCCGCCCACCAACTCCAGTTATACACCACAGCACAGGGGAAGTGCCCTGCAGGTCCTCACCACGCCAGGGACTATCCAAAATGACCAAGCGGAAGAATTCCCCTCAGAAGAATCTCCAGGAAATAACAACAACTAATGAGCTGATCAAAAAGGATTTAAATAATATAACAGAAAGTGAATTTAGAATAATAGTCATAAAATTAATCGCTGGGCTTGAAAATAGTATAGCTGACAGCAGAGAATCTCTTGCTACAGAGATCAAGGGACTAAGGAACAGTCACGAGGAGCTGAAAAACGCTTTAAA